AGACCGTGAAAACGGTTTATACAAACCGTTCACTATCCGTTTGCAATCCGTTTTTTTGGCCGTTTTAACGGAAAAACGTTAACGTATGTTTTCCCAAAGAGGGTCACATTTAATGTATCAAACAATCAAGAATTTATTTCAATTTATTTTATTAACTGTCCAATTCCCTTTCAAATTCGAAATTTTGAAAACGATTCATAGCTATTATAGGTGATTATCAAAAATAGTATGATTAATAAAAACATTTAGGACATTTGTCTCCACGTTTCCCATATTGCAGAAATGACCGCGCACATGCAAGAATCATTCTCAAGAAAGCTTTATCTTAAACGAAATTTTAAAAAGTACTTATGGTATCTCTGTCCTCAAAAGATACGGTGTTGGCAAACTTTTCGGAACATTGCAAAAATTAGATATTTGGTCAATTAAGTTGCAAAGGAAATTGCAAAAAAAATATTAATCCTATTTCAACATTCATCAATTAAATTTAATCCACACATTCGACAGTCGCGCAGGAATAACATGCACGCTAATGAAACTAACTATCTCGGGCCAAATATCCTTAAAAGAGGCTTTAAAAAGGGTTAAATATCGACCATAATATCTAGCAAGATTTGCATGATCTCTTTAACATGGGCGGCGCCGATCCTTTTGCAAACGGGCGGTGATTAACTAATACTTTATCAGCTCACGCATTTACTATTAAGCTTTTGTTAAAATATTGGATATACGCGGATTACGAAAAGTTTCCACTGTCGCAATAAAAGCTTTATAGATCTGTTGGCTATATAGGTGGCTTTTACTTACAAATGTTGTCAAAAAGGCAACTCATCTCCATTTACATAGGCTGTTGGGTTGTTTTGAATTATAAAATTACCCGCTACGACTATCACAGCATACTGTATTATCAAGATATTTATTTACCCGAATTTTTTAAGTAGTAAGTTTTATACTTGAATTCACACTAGATAATAATTTAATTAATACTGATAAGTTAATTCAGATCATTCAATCCGATGATTTGGTCCATATCCATGCAAATTAACAAATTGATTCAATTGTCGTTGATTGGATGCAACATTTTGAGATCTCGTTTATGAATGGGCCAATGTGGGAGTTTCACAACCTCAAAGCACCGCCCCTGTTCTGGGGTTTCGTAGGTGTTGTCAGCAATACCAAAGTATTGTTTGTGACAGCAGATTTTTGCAAACTGATGCCGTGCACAGAGTGATATTGTACATATATATTCCGTTAGTTTGTATTCACACTGAAAGAGTTGAGAAAATGGCGATAAGACCAATTACCAAAATCTACCTTTTCTTCCATTTTCACCAAAAACGTGCTTGCCTAGGGCAATTTCCGCATCACAGTCAATCAACGCACGTGCGCTCGTTGCACCGCCCTATATATGAGCGCCTTGTTCGGAGCAAATTTCAGTGTCAGCCGCAACTCCGTTGCAGTATTATTACGTTCATTTACAGATGATTATACTGGTTTATGTCTCTATATTTGAAAATATTTTTCTTTAAAGGATACCTTCAAAAATTCTTCTCTTTACTGGAGCAACAAGAGAGCCTATAAAGTCGGAAAGGGGCTTGAAGGTTTGACAGAAAAACAGACAAAGCAGCTTCTTACTGGAACACGCCGTTTACAAAAATATGCCTCGGAATGAAAGTCGATGGAAGTGCAGAAACTGATACAAAATGGATTGCAATTAACCACGAAGCAAGCTCGTTACTCGACGTAATCGTACATGACAAATTCACACCAACAAACACTACAAAGTCAAAATGGCAATCACTTATCAAAGGTTCATCTCTACAAGAAAATTGCAATAAAGAAGGGTTTAATATCCATGGTGGGCGAAATGATAGAAAGATGTATGTACGGATTGGGATAGTCGCTAATGATAATTGGTACTGCGACTCATGCAACTCGTGCATTGGCTTTGGCACTTCAGTAACTGGATGTGATGGTAAAGTGAGATTTATGTCATGTGGTAATATACATGCTTGTTATAGCACGTATAAGAACACTGCAACATTCGGGTACATACTTATACAGTAGCATCGCAACATTTTTCCAAACTAACACGTGAACATGTACAAACTATCAGAATTTAAAATTATATGAGAGCTTTCGCCCTTTCTGTAGTTTTTGCATGTAGTAGCTATATGTATACAAAAAGAGATATTGATTGAATGCCATTTCTGGCGTTATAGTTTGTTGATTGTCTATTAAATATTCGATTAATTATTCGATCTGCACGGATAACTATAAATTAAGAAATAGTTGGTGTTGACTCAGGTGCGACGAAACAGGTGGGGCATAAACAAACCTATCAAAGTGAAACACTAAAATGAAGACTCTTGATCACTGCTTAAACGGCAACGTAAACAAAATTACTAACATTGTGGTAAATTAATGACATATTTTGTTAATTTAGCTGTGTGGGTGAGTTGGAAGGGGGGAGGGGGGCTTAGCCTCTGTTCTCCTTGTGATATTTATAAACGGTATCCCAACATATTACCTGACGAGACATTGGCAGCTTTGTACGCAGACGACACCAAACTGTACAAGTCTATCACATCAGTAGGCGACGGTGCATGAACATTTGCAACAAGCTTTCTCAAATTCACTAATAATTCATGAGCAATTCAGCCAATAATAATCACCTATTTGATCACAAGATGACATTTGGATAACCCGGTGAAACTTGACGAAAGTCACTAGTGTTTTCATTAAATATCTTAATTATGCCTGCAAAATTACTTGAATAGAATTCCTAATTACATTATGCTTGGTTAAGAATTCTATTTAAATCAGCAAACGAAAACATTCTGTTACGTCTCGATTCATTTGAGAAGCCATACAAACAACTCGATCTCGTGTCTCACCGGGATATCCAAACACTTGAAAACAATGTATGAAGACACTCGCGCTTCGCGCTCGTGTTTTCAAACATTGTTTTCTCGTGTTTGGATATCCCAGTGAAACACTCGCTCTCGTTGTTCATATATTACTTAACAGATCTTGACTGCTGGAGCCGTGACAACAACCTCCAGACAAATACAAGAAAAAAATTCCCGCTAACGTACGCATATCAAATGGACTCAAAGGAACTTACTCGTGTTCACAAGAAAAAAGATCTTGGCGTCCTCATAAATAATAGCCTCGCATGGGACGATCATATATTCATACCATCACCGCCAAAGGGAACAAGATGCTTGGGATGCTTAAAAAAACTTGCCCTCTATCTATTGACTAAAACTTGCCATCTATCTATTGACTATACTTGGCACTCATGATGTCTCAGACGTTACTGGCCCGAAGTCTGGTCTCCACCTACCATCAAAATAAAATCCACAGTGGAACGTGTACACTGTAAAAACTGATTGGTCGAAATGACCAAAAAAAATTGGTCACCTGGAAGCATCTGAGAGAACCAATTAAAAATGGTCGTTTTAACCAATAAAATTAACCATTAGTTAATTGGTCATTTCAACCAATAATAATTGGTTAATATAACCAAATATTTTTGGTTGTTTTGACCAATTAATAAAATGGTTAATTTTATTGGTTAAAAGGACCATTTTTAATTGGTTCTCTCAGATGCATCCAGGTGCAATTTTTTTTGGTCATTTCGACCAATTTTTTTGGTCATTTCGACCAATTTAATCTCACAACCTATACACTGCATTAAAATGAAGAAAATTTGTGAGTCTTACATCACTGAACATGTATACATGGAATTTAATAAAAAATCTATCAATACAATATCATAAGACAATTAAATAAACTAGAGCTACCGGTACCTTAGAACTATGTGAGAGCAATTGCAAAGGAATACAATTACAACTGCTGTGCTGAGTGGTTATATTACTACCTGAAAAAAAAAACAAGCAAAAACTCAACATTTCGAGCGAAGGGTCTTTGCTCAAAACGCTGAGTTTCTGGGTGTTTTTTTCAGGTAGTAATATAACCACTTAGCACAGCAATTTCACAATGGCACTATCCACACTGGTACTGGTACAGACAGTTTTAATACAATTACAAGCCTGCCAGTATGAACTGAACCTGCAGCCCTGCAATTCTACTGCAGCCCTATGACTTAAAGAGTCCTTTTGCCAAGATGTAACCATAACTTTCTGTATAATTATACCATGATGGTGGTGTCACTGGTAGTATATTAAATAAACTGGGATGACACTAGTATTGTATAAATGAACTCTTGGTTAGCTTGATGGATTCTTGTCGCTTGGACTCTCAGGGCTTGATGGACTCTCGGCTGTTAAGGAACTGTTCAGAATCACAGGGCAACAGGTTCCATTCCCGGCACAGTACTTATTACATAGTTATTGTTCAAAATTTCCATCTACAGAAATTTGGCTTTAACCCATTGAGTGGCAACACTCTTTCCTTCATGAGTAAAATTGTCTGGCATTAGACAAAAAAAATAATAAGGTAGAGCCCATTGCCACATAAAAGGTTAACATTCTCTTCAAAGTAGAATATTTACAAGTTAGTATAATATACCTGTATTGCATGTAGTGTTGTCACTGCTCAATCAAGCATGTCATACAAGTCCACTAGTTAAAATTTAAAAGTACAAGCTTTATACCACAAGTCAGCGACTCCATTCCTTGTCAGGTTTGTTAATCCATAAACATACTCTCCAGCAAAAGAATAACATTTTCCAAATAGACTATGCAGCACTTAAAATGCCATTAATGATTATATATATTGCCACTTGTTTAGACAACTTGCCTTCTGCTGGGAAGCTTTTATTAATAACTTTTCATTCAGGATCAGGATATATAATGAATCCATATTAAATACAATCTCTATTAAGAAAAAAATACATATTAAGGTTGATATATAATGGTAGCAAATTATTGATTGACTGACAATGAATTTCCTATTTTTAATGTAAGGCTAGCATGCAATTGAAGTAACATCTGCATCCAATACAACTATTCTCACTGGTAAAAGACTGTTTAGAATACTGGTGCATAACAACTGTTTTTTCCAAAATTCCTAATTGAAAAATATCATTTTATATAATCCAGCAAGGTAGATTTAGTGGCTGTTTATATGAGGTGATGGCACCTGTATACCTGAGCTAGCCCAGTTTTGATGAGATCCAGACTTTGTTATTATATTCTATATATTTCAACTTGTGTTTTACTTTATAATATAAAACTGAACTGGACTTTTGAGGAAGATGGGGGGCTTCGGTGGCAAAGCTGTTATATGCACTTGCCGTTCACCTCTAAGGCTACAGGTTCAAGCCTCAGTGAGAACTTTCTCAATGCGACTCCAACCCAGTCCTCATGTGAAGAGTAAAAGTCAACGCTCTGTCGAAAGTTATGGGTTTTCTCCAGGCACTCTGCATGGTTTCCTTCTACAGGGAAAGTTGACAGGGTGGGTGATGTAAAAGAGCCAACAGTAATTGGCACATGCTGTTGTGGTGACAGCTAATTGGCAAAGCTAAATAAATAAACTTAAGATACTGCCACAATTGACTCAAAATGTTGCTAATGCCAAACTAAGATTTTCCATATAAACTATATACAATGACCCGGGATTTGGCACAGTATTCATGCTTTGTTTAGGCATAATGTAATCTTCTAAATGACATTTCCCAATCAATTTGAATATTAACCCAGTAAGCTGTAGAGTTGGAGTTTCCCCATTGACGAGTAAAATCATTTGGCCAGAGGTGTAACTTAACACTTGCAGGGGCAAGTGAATATCATGATGGGCAAATAACCACTTTATCTTGCTTCCCAATTGGACAAGTTGCCTTGCCACTATTCATTGTCAGATATATTTTGTTTTATAGTGCATGGATTGGTTCAAGTTTCGTTTTTTGTGCACCAAAGCTATATCTGAGGCAGTATAACAGAAGCCACATGCTGGATACTGCAAGCAAGCTAGGTGCGGAGAAAATAACGAGATATTACATATAAACAGTTGCTGATAACCCTTGGTTTATCAACCCTGCCCTACGAAAGATAGAGAATAGATAGCGTTCGTTTTTAAGGCATGGGCATACCGATCTTGACGTGTCCAGTTTCGTCTCATTCGTCAACAATGGCTATAAAGACGGCTTAGTCGAATTCCTTCTCTCACACATAAAATTTCTTTCTGTAAATGCAGATTATTTCAATCCTCATATGTATACCACCTTTGCCAACTTCCATCACCAAAAGATCTCTTAAAGGCACTTACGCAAACATGGTTACGGCAACATTTGATACTGAAATGCATGCCATGCACGTGAACACTCGTGCGGGACTGTCCCTGCAACATATCTTAAGCAGCTTTAATAGACTGTTCCCATGGGCGTACCGGAAGGAAAAAATTAAGGGGGCGGAAAGAAAATTGCCCGACTTTTCGGGATTTTGCCCGACTAGTAACAAAAACTTTTTCCGGAAAAATTATTTTGGCGACATCCACCCCCCCCGTCGCCAAAAAATTTTCGCTCAGTGTACCATTTTAGGGGTCAAAAAAATTCTCCGGACAACCAATATTTTTCGGAACATAACACAAATTTTCCAAAAATCGCAAAATTTGCCAAAAAATTTACTTAATTTTAGACAAAATTGACAGAATTTGTCCCATTTTTTTTATTGGAAACCAAAATTGCCCGACTGTTGATCGAATATTGCCCGACTGCCCAAA